GTGGTTAATTACGAGAACAGGGAATGTGCTGTTCGCACGCTATTTTACGATTTCCAGTACCGTAGTCATGTTTTAAATATATTTTAATTTAAGCCTGAAATCATTTTTTTTTTTCATTTTATTTTATTTTATTTCATATAATTCTATTGTATGTCATTTTTATGCTTTTTTTTAATCTATTTAATTTTTTAAATGTTTTTAATTTTATTTTAATACTATTGCTTCATAAATTGATTCTTGTACCGCAGCCATGTTATCATGTGTTTTTTGTTTTATTTAGTTTTTATAATTGAATTTTTTTTATTTAATTTTGATTTTTGTTTTATTTTATTTAAATATTTGTGATTTAATTTTTTCACTTTATTTTGTTTTATATTATTTTAATTCTGTTTTTCATCCATATTTTATGTATACTTTTACGCCATTATATTTATTTTATTTTATTTTTGTGTTTCATGTTATTCATTTTATATAATTAATTTTGTTAAGAAAGAAAATCTTTTATTTTATGTTAAGTATTTATTTTATTATACCTTTTTTTAACATAAATAATTTTGTGTAACTTAGTTTTGGAAAGGCCCATAGTATCAACAGTTGCTATAAATTGTGTCGCTAAAGCAAGGAACTATATAATTGGTGCACCAGAGAGTAATGGCAAGAATATCAACGTAGAATTGGGAAAATAAAAGAAAATATGTTTATAATAAACTTTAGGTATACACTGAAGTACAGCTCACATATGAACATTCCCTCAGAAGCATATGTAGACTCCTACTTGCTCGTACATACTCGTATAAACATATCTTAAGTAAGCTAGAAGCAATTGAACTCAGCTAACTTACAATCGCAGTCAGAGTGATATCTGGAAGTCATTAATTAGTTCAAGCAAGCAGTTATTTTTTTACATGCATACAACTAAACAAACTTAAGTCGTTTGTGCACATAGTCGCTTCGACAGTAGTCGACTAGCGGTAATTTAGTGGCGCTGTAAGTCAAGCAGATAAACCGTCATTGGGCCGTTAAGGCGGCCAGAGCTAATGTTATAACTTTACATTGTCAAATTTAATACACACACAAACATACATCTGTGTGTGTATATATATTTTTGGCCCATTTGACAACATAAGTGGCGCTCTAATTGCCATTGGTTTTGAAAGCCCATGAGAAATGGCCACCGGCTTTTAGTACAGAATGTTTGCTTTTGTAGTTGTTTTATGCACCTATTATGAACTTACATAAACACACATAGCCTTATATGTAGTTGTGTCGTTGATTTAAGGTAATTGTATTGTACTTGTGCTAGCAATAAAAAATAATGGCTACTGAATTTTTTTATTTAACAACAAAACTGTGACACAATAAACTTTCGACTGTTCACATTTTTTCGATATAATTTTGTAGTTTCTAATTATAGCCAATTGAAATTGCGACTCAGCATTCTTTAGTTGTGCTTTAGCCAGTGTTGATTACGATCAAAATCGAATATAGCAAAAATATTAGGTACATATTAATTTTAAAGTTTTTCTTGAAAGTTTTTTAATTTTTTTTTTGTATTTAAAATTATTATTATATTTTTTCCATTTTATATATATAAATGACACTTTGTAACCACTGAAGCGATTTTAGGCCGATTCCTCCTGCAATTTGTGGTTTAGTGTCTTTAAGTTTTTCCAACAAATGGAGGGACCTACAGTTTATACTAAGCCGCCTCCGGACGGCTGATGATTTTTTTATGAGAAGCTTTTGATTTTCACGCCAGAAATATATTCGAAGGGGTTGACCTTCCCTGCCGAATTTTTTATTAAAATTAACTTTCAAAATACTTGAATGTTGGTCGTGCCAGGACTTGAACCCGAGCCTTCCGAATGGCAGTACGCTATGCCGAGTGGTTACCGCGTGTTTGATTCATTTAGACTCATATTTTATTATGTCTTGCTTTGCTTTATTTGGTGCTATTTTTTTGATTTTTACTATTTAATTCATAATACTTTAAAATAAAATTTACTTTTAAATTGATTTCATTGTATTAGAAAATTTTTTGTTTAGTTCTTATTTTTTATTTAATTTAATTATTCTAAATAGTTCCTTTTTACTCTTTTTTTTATTATATTTTTTTATATATTGTCAAACTGAATTTTTTGTTTTATTTTCATTATTTTGTTTAATTTAATTTTAATATGTTATTTAAATTTCAGTTTATATCAGTTAATTTTATTGATTTTTTTTTATTATATATTATTATTTATTGATTAATTTTAATTATGAGGACTTTACTTTTCAATTACATACCCAGTCCGTAGTATTACCGGTTTGTAAGGGTGATTCTGCGATGGATTTCAAGGCTGGAATTATTTTTGGTGTTAATGCTGGCCCATATAAAGACGAAATTACCTACGACCTCGAAGTTATGACTGTCAACAGTGACGTGAGAGCCAAGTCGAGAGTGCGATGACTGTTTGTTTGATGACAGGAGATGTTTCATCTAGCCCACATTCACTACCAGACCCACTCGCATCGCTTCTTTAATTTTATTAGTGAAATTCTCTTAATTTAATTCAATATTTTTTTATTATTTATTTTTAATTTGTTTAATTAATTGAATTTAATTTTTAACTTCTCCTAAACTGTTTTAAAGTTTTGACTCATCATTTGAACACTAAGAACGTAATAAATCTTACTCGTTCCTAACGTGTTTATCTATTTTTATTATGAATTTGTCAAAATTATTGAAGCTTAGTATGTAACTACATAAAAATACTAAAAATTAATTTGTTTAGTCAACAAAGCAAATTCTAGAATAAAAACATGTATAGTATTTTTTAAAAGTATGCTTCAGTCACTTATCTGCCATACTTAATAACAACAACAAGCGAACAACTTTAAGCATCTGACAGCTTGAAGGCCTAAGTTGAGGACCTCGGGGGCCATACAATTTATAAAATTAATTTGTATGCATGAAATATGTACATATCCATCCATATTTATAAATTATTAATACGTCATGTAGGTATACATACATATTTATGTGCTTAGTGTATTACAAGTAACTACTTAGTCAAAGGCGCCTGTAGTGTAAATACGTAACGAAACAATATTTAATAACTTTTAATAACCTTCAGTGGAACTTTGAGTTGTAAAAAACATAATTATAGTAAATCAAAACAATATTGGAGGGGGAAAAACGAGCTAGCCAGGCGATAATTCCATGGGCAGTTGGCTGAACTAATTGCTTGCCATGAATAAATATACACAAAATAGAAAAATAATTCTACTATATTAACTCAACAATAATATTATTTAGCGCTCTAGACCCGGTTAAACAAATATTATTGGCGAAATTTGACGCATCGTACGATTTAAGGTATACTCGATTTTAATTAGATTTTTTTGCTCTCGTATGCACGTCAATTGCTCGAGCACAAACGTTTTATATTATTTTATTTAGGCCAATTAATTATTATACATATGCATATATATTATTACATTTATACTTTAAGAATTCCATAATTTCAATATTATGGTTTTTTTTGGCTTTTTTGCAAATAAAAACTAATATTTCTATGAAAAGTCTGACAATTTTCTTTTATTTTTATTTTTAAAATGCTGTAAATCACCTTTAAAGTTGATCATAATTTTGTTGTTGATTCTCTTGATTAGTTTAAATTGGCTAACTAAAGATTAAAAATCTTTTATAATAATTTAATATATTTGCAATATTAGATCTAAAATAATTTTGAGCACAATTCCCTTCTTCAATTTTATTGCTTCAGCAGTTCACAGCTCACCTATTAAATAAGCGATCACATAACTCATTTAAAATAGCGAATTATCATATAGATTATCTCATCCGCTTAATGCCTTTTATGAAGAATTCATATATTACTAAGAAGGATTTTATTGTTTCCCCTGTTTTTTTTTTTTATTTTTCAACAATTGGGATTTGCGCACACGACTTGCTCTCCGGCAAAGTCAGTTTTATTTCTACTTCGAGCTTATTAAGTCAACAGCTACTCGTCATACTTTTGTCGTCACATTTGCACACAAAAATCGTGATCAGCCGCATCAAAAAATCCATATTAACGCCAAATGTCATAACTCTACAAAAAAAAAAAATTATTTAAAACAAGTCACGTAAGTTGATGAGAAACAGGAAGCCACGGGAGGGTATATAGAGCGTACACAGCCATACATATATGTATATTCATAGACTACATTCATGAAAAATTTGTGTATTTCCAAATGCTCTGCTTTTCAACAATCGATGTGCGCCACAGAGTTTCTTCATTCATTGAGTTGAAGAAATGTTTTTCTTTCTTTTCAGCCTTCTTTCTTGCACACAATTTTAAGTGTCTTTAACCTTTGGAAAGATATGTCGAAATTCTAATATTCTTCTATGTATTTGTTATGAATTTAGTAATTAAAACCACAACAAAAAAAGAAAAACAACCGTCAAAGATAGAAATAGAAATAGAAACAGAAAGACGCATTGTCTATTGTTATGATAATTTGTCTTTACCAATGCTAATGAAGATGACAATATCTACTGATAATACTATAAGAATCTTTGATAATACATTTAAATGTACACATACATACATATGTACTCGTACTCGTACATATGTAAACGTTTAATGTATAAGAGCACGTATGCCGATGTTTCGTAACGAAATCTCATTAGCTGCCGCAGTGGGTATGACAACAATTGATTTGGTATTCAGAAAAAACTCATTAAAATGTCATTGTTAGAATTAATGAATGATTCGAATGCACTGATAAGTTAGGTAGAAAAAGGTTTGGAAACGATGGTGTAAGAGGTACGTTTCGAACTGAGTGGTGGAGTTAATAAATTCAAATTTGATTCGCTTTTGTAAGAAGGAAGTGCCTTAAGCTGAGAGGAAAGAAACCGATTGGTTTTTAAGAAATATATTGATCCCTTAACATGCCCTTACAATTCTAGAAAATTACATAAAAAAATTCGAAGTTAATATTTTGCTACTTACCAAAAAAATAAAATTAATTTAATTTTGCTTTAATTATTCCTGTTCTTAATTTTGCTTTCGAAAGCAAGAAATGTAAATATGTCTTCCACTTTGTAATCGCTCCAAATGCTCAAATTATCTTTTACACTTTCCAATTCGCAAATTCGAATGAATAATCAGTTATGTTGACATAACAATTCGAATTTCGGTAAATCACTTTCAAATGTCAGCAGTAGTAAACCGAAACACTTGTCGCCACAAAAACAAAACGACACTTGCTGCACCACAGTTTCGCCGTTCACTGGACGACTAACACAAAGCCGAAGAAAAAAAGAAATTTCTAAACAGTATTTGGCAAATCGCACTTTTTTTAGTGAACCGTCAAAACAACTTTAGGTCGATGCTAACAAGATCTTTCACAATACCGTTACAGCTGATTGTTTTCTATTTATGTTATTTATATATCTATTCCTTTTTTAATTATGAAGCCACAACAAAGCCTGCAGTTAAGCTTGCGGCGAAATTTCTCAGCGTAAATTGCTTGAAACTGCCAGCAGTAGTTTTTTAAATTTTTTCTTTCTTTTTTTATTTGTAAATTTCAATTTTGAAGCCGGTTTAATGACTTTGATCTGTTGGAATTTCTCAACTCTCTTTTATTCTCTTCGTTCTAATTCACTTCCGATGCGGCACTTAAAAGTAAACAGGAAACCAACAACACTTGAGTAACTAAAAAATGTAAACAAGAGCATGAATAGCAGGAATACAAAAATTCCTCTTTATTTGTTTTTTTTTTTTGTGTTTTATATGCTCCTATGTGTGTTTCACTTCGCTTATGTTCTTTAATTCGTATTTTTATTTCGATTGCACATGCGCACAGAACTCATTGCGACCCTTTTCGCACGCACACTCTTTTCCCTTGAAAGAAAACAAAACGCACTGAATATCTCGAGGAGGGTCGTGCTTGCACTTTGTGCTATTGTAGCAGGCAAGCTATTCGTATGGTGGATGACGTTGCGAGTACTCGTAAAAGTATTTCACAGATACACAGCGTCACGCCGTTTCGAACGTTTCACTTCGGTTGGCGGCTTAAATCGTACTGAAAGTCGAGTTTTCACATTGAGCTGCTGTTGGCTGCTTTGCGGCACTTGCCTTGTGTGACTCGTCATCGGCATTTAACGGCTGGGAGGTTGGTCGGTAGGTCGGTGGCGGTGCTGTGTTTGGTGGTGGCTTTGAAAATGAAGATGTGTTGCTGCTGGTTTTGAGCGAATATACGACGCGTAAATGAGCTACACTCGGTGCATATTTTGGAGCTAAGGCGAAATATTATTATATTTATATGGATTCCAAAATTCAAGAGCGCAGTAGAAATTCTAGATTTAAATAATTCTACTGCAGAATTGCTGAAGTTTTTTTTAAATACGGAGATGTCTCCTTAGAAGAGTTTTTTGTTAAATTTATTTACTTCTGTTCTCTCTCCCGGTCATTTAAAGGAGAATTTATCATCTCTTGGCATTGTGCCGCCACTGACAGCATTGTACAGCCTTTAAATTAGAAAAACTACAATAACTTCGGTTTACAATGCGGACTCACAGCTGTGGTCACCTGATCGATTTCGTTTCTCACTTCAGTTGTCATTCAAGGCTATATCCCAGTTTTAAGCACAGAGTTGCATGCATGATTTTGACTTTTTTGTAAAGCTCTACTTGACCATTTTTTCAAAGAAAACTTCAATATTAAGCATTTAATGCATTTAAATTAAGCTACGGTATCAACGTCAAGAGAAGAAGTTCTCGGATTGGTAGTAATTCCAAAACTATGTAGTTTTAATGAAATAGAATCACGGTCAAACACACGGTAAAAACATTATGTAATAATAGCATTAATAATAAGTTGAAATAATTATTGAAAATATCAATGACTTAATCGCTAGGCTGCAATAGTAAAGGTCTTCATATAAAATTTTTTATATGATGTCATGAACAAATTAAATTCACAAAATTTGTGTAGCGCTTTAAAATAATACACGTTGGAAGCTATTTCAACGCAACCAACGCGAACATGCAACCAATGCTTCGAACATCTGTAGCGTTGCCAACTACTGTCACACATTTGTGGGCATATTTATTTACGTGTGTAAACAAAAGATATGAAAAACAAGCTCGTTAGGTGTTTAGTAAATTATTCACCGTTTTTACATATACATACATACATACATGCGTCAATATTAAAAATTTGAGGCAAACGCCCACTAAATATTGTCAATGGATTAATTTGGAATATAAATATGTATTTATAAAAATTATTTATGTGATAATCACAAAAGACTGAACTCTTCGAGGCGACATTAAGTCTTTAATTAATCAAGTTTAATTTTTTTTTTCTACGTTTATACTTACACTTGTTTATAGACACTAATCAGCTGCTGGTCTTTCGTTTTAAAACACTAATGGAGCGTAATTAATAAATATTAAAACAAATAAGGGCAACTAAAATGCAAAATTATACGCAAAATGGGCCTAAAGTAAAAAAAAAAAAACAATCAGTTGTTTCCAGAGACTTTCTTTTGCTTCTATGGTTTCCCTTTAACCGTCTGTGTGTAGGTAAGGCGCTGCAACCATTGCCGCTTGGCCGATATTTCCATAGAAGTACGCACTGACGCAGAAAAATATGCTTTCCGTAACTAAATATTTACATTTATTTATATGTATGTATATACAAAAAAATATGAAACAAAAAGATTGTGCTCTTAGCGGCAGGGTTCTTGTAGTTAGGTGTGCGTGCGCATGCGCCAATGCACTTGTCAACAATTGAAGTGCATTTGCCTCGTTGCAAATTGATTTCATGCGTGCACGCATTTTCTTCTCTATGCACCAGGCAGTATGAAGGAGCACACACATATTTGTACGTTGCATTTTTAAGGCATAAAACACGTTCTTTATGCTTTCTGCTACCATTAAATATTAGCACTTCTGTGCTTGTACATACTCGTATGTATTTCTTTTGACAATGTCACCTAGCGTATATATGTACATGTGTTTCGTTTTGAAATTTGATACATTTAAAGCCGTTGCAAAGTCACTAAGTAACAATATTCTTTGGGTAAAATAATGTGACAGTTTTATAGGCTTTGGTAAATTATCTGCATTGTTGTATGCTAACTTAGTATGATACATATGTACATATACGTGTATATATATGGAACCTTAAATTTTTGTAAAACCTTTAAAGGTCATTTTAAAATATAGAAAACAACAACATAACAGCAGCTAATTGCTAACTGAGAATTGCAACTGAATATTTTTTTTGATTATGCTGACAGACAGAAGGTTTAATCTGCATTTCATAAATTTATTTGCATTAACTAGTGCATTATTATTGTTCAAATGTGTTTAATTCGATATTATTTGTTAAATTTGAGTTAACCAAAATATTGTATTTCGAAATGTTGCCAGTAGTGTCGCCAGCAACCATTTACTTGATATTTTGTTTGCTTTGCTTTGAAAACAGTTGTTCCTGAAGCGGTTTTTGTATTAACGTTAACGTCTTCTTGCCAAACTAAGTAAATAAAAAACATTTTTGTAGCTGCTCGTCAACAGGCATCATCAATATAATGCACTGGAAACATCCTTATAAGACCTGAAGAAATTTTTGGAAAGTACACTTTTGATTAGATATCCAATTACGTGAGGTGGCTTTACCAAGAATTTCTACCAACAAATAACGACTTATACTAACAACTTTAGCATCACACAAAAAAAAACATTGCCTTATTTGAATTACAGTCCTCAGTGTTTGCGAGAGTATAGAAAGTATTTGGGGAAAGAAGATGAAAACGTGTTTTTAAAATTAGTCGATTTTATTTTTTTCAACGTTTTTGCCTAAAAATAAATTTATTACCCAACACAAGTGACTCAACCGAAAAGCAAATAAAATAAAATCACAACAAACAAATTTACATTTTTTTTTTCATTTTTATATTCATTTTTTTTTTGGTATAATACTAATTAAAACGGTATCTCGCAAAAAACGTAATAATTATGCGTTTCCGGCGCTGACTTGATTGTTAAATATTATAGGCCTTGGCACGCATCACACATTAACGCCACCAACTTAACCAACCGCACCACCAACAGCAACAATAACACACCGGCGACAGTGCATCATTCGGAAACACTTCACAATGCACAATCTGTCGATTTCGACCCTTAATAAAGTTGACTTCACGCGAGCCTCTCAAGAGTCTGCCGAGCACATGCGCCGCATTGCAACCCTAATTTCTAATTTTAATGATTGTGCTCTTCCGCTTCCTTACTTCATTGTTTTCTACAAAAATTTAGTTTCATATTTATTTATCCTTTTTTTCATTTCAATACACGATTTTGATTTATGGCCGTTTTGTCATGCGATTCAATGCTTTTTATTTGTTTTAATGCTCTAATTTCTTTGAGTGGTAAAATGCGTATGCGCAACCCTTTTTTCTATTGTTTTTTTATGAACATTTAGATGTAGTTGTTGTATTTGTCATTAAAATGCCAATCTCAAGCACTGCTGTCACCGATGGTGTTTCCGATTGTGGCACTTCAGCTGTTGGTGATTTCGTTATTTCATTTTGGTGCATTAAATTTTAGTCTGATCGCGGAGTTCTAGTCTCTGCCGCCCTTCCATTGCCTTTCTGATGGTTGAATTAATGATTTATTATATGGAGGGTGTGTCGATTGTCGGGGGTCGATATCGTTGCGTTGGTCGCTTGTGATGCAGTAAAGTCTTTTATGTGGTCAACGAAGTCATTTCTACAATATTGTAGGGAAGTCAATGATTTTTAAATTAATCTTAATTTATTTTAGAAAAGGATAACTGATGTTATGGTAAAAAAAAGATAAAATTAAGTAAATTTAAATTACTTGGATCAAAGAAGAGGCATTTCGGAGTACATACGTATAATAGGAGTTTTAAGCTGCGGAATGGATTTCCGGCCGAGCAGCCGTTGCAAAATTGTTAAATAAAATGATTAAAAGCAAAAGTATACATATATTTATGTATGTAATACATCTCAATAGCTACATTTCACAACTTGGATCTCTTTTTGTGTTCGGATGTGCCCTTGGCGAGACAAACACTTGGACTATGAGGCAAATGAATCCATAAGAATGCATTGCAATTTGTCATTGGCTCAAATGTTCACATGCATATAAATATGTATGTATATATAACGTCAATTCCCATTGCATTCACGATGCTTATATATTTACAAACATATATAAGTATTGTTAAAAACTACGTTATAGACTTTTCGTATGGCCATGATTTGAGTGATTCGTATTTTATCTCCTAAATCATTGCAAAATGTAAAATTTTCGGAAATGGAAAAAATACTGTTAACAATACTAGCGCTCTCGGCTATCCTGCACTCTCCTATTAGTGAGAAGGGTGCTTAGTTCCGACTTCATCTATGATTTGTTACCAGTTAAAGTTCTGTTAAGGAGATGTAAGCTTTATTCATTCCAATTTCCAAGGAACTTTGCTGCCATGACTGAAATCACTCTCTTTAATAGTGCCGTTTCATTTTCTAATCATTTTCTTAGGAGTTGATGAGTTGAACGTTCGAACACTTTGAGCAATATTTTATATAAAAGAGACCTGACTCCTTTATATAGATTGAGCTCGAGATATTTGTGGACTTCCGATGATGTCGAATGAAACAGATTTTGCTTTATCTGGTCAAATCCCAGTGGACATTTTTGAAGGGGAAATGAAAAAGTTTTTTAAGGTTATTGGTACGGAATGAATTCGTGATTCGGAGAGAGATTTTCAAAGCAATAACATTTTATTTAAAGAACTTGGTTTTTCAGTGGCTTTCAAGCGTGTTAAGATGCCGTGCTGGCTCAGATCGGAAATTAGTCCTTTCCGGTCAACCATAAAAACCTTTTATCAGAGCGGAAGTGTTGTTTCTCCGTCTGCCCTTCTAGGATTCGAGACACTCTTTGGCATGGAATATGAATCGGAAACCAGAATCCTCAGCACGCTGAGAGAGCGAGGGGTGGGTTTGCCCACAGTAAACATATGGTGGTACTGAACTAAATAAGGTCCAATGCGCTTACCAGCCCCGAGAAGTAAAACACTATTGGTTGTTAGCAGAGAGTTTTTATTATGTAAGTGTAACTGTGAAATAGCAAGTCGTTCATAAAGATTCCGAAAAAATACTCAGGAAGGCGAAAAATAGTGATAATCAAATACAATACATGCAAAATTTGAGTATATTTTATTCACTTTATTTTTTAAAGGGGCTTCGCAGACTTGGTTGAGCTGTTATTCCAACTACTCAAGAAATTGGTAAAATTTAAAGAAAATTTAAGAAAATGGTTCAAAAACGGATATTGTAAGGTCTGCACATCATCGTTTAGCTCGTTGCACCTCAAACATTCTAATGAAGTGAAAGTGTAGTCGAAGAACCGAATGTGTCTATTTCTTGACCTTCTCTAAAGCTGGATCTTTCACACACTATATTACGGCATATTTCGCCCTTGGACTTACACCTAAATCCAATGCAAAGTTTCATATCTTAAAATAAAAAAGTTTTATGAGAATATGTATTATTTTAAAACCACAAACTGGATAACCCTTAACCAATATCTATATATATGTATATTTGCTAAAAAATGAACCCCATAGCTAAGTTGTTAAGCACAGTTAGTGAAAAATTGACCGGAAATAATTAAAGTGGGCAAAAAGGTTCGCCTTGCAAAATTTGCATTTTACCCTCCCACCAGACAGACGAACAAAACGGAAGTTAATGCAACGGAAATTTCAAAAGCGTTCAGCGTTGCATTGTTGAATACAAGTACATATTTACATATGTGTATATATGTTTGTATGTATAATGCAGGGCAATGCATATTTAAATGCAATAACGCCAGGTAAACGGACGAGTGTGCGCGTCTGCCTGAGCGAATGCGTAAAAGTGCAGTGAAGCGTATAAAAGTGCGCCGATCACACGATTAACATCAAATGTAATTACGTAAATTCAATGTTTTCGCAAATAAAAAGTGGAAACTATGCACATACTCACCTATTGTACATATGCATTAACACATGTACATACATATATGAGTACTTGGCACATTTGCGTATTTTAAACTTATTCATGCTTTGAGGGTTAAAGGAGAAACTGTTGCGCATGCGTGTAAATTTCGATTTAAATGCATTTGCGTTTTGAGCCTAAACTTTTCCAAGAATTGAAAAAAACATTTTCTGATAAAAAATATAAATACATGAATTAAATGTTGCTTTTATTTTTATTGTATATAATTATATTTTTTTTTCTCTCAAGACGCAATAGTTTTTTCTCATTGCTGCACTTTAATTGTTATTGCGTTATAACTGCATTCTCATAACTGTATAGCTGACAGCTGTTGACCCGAGTGCTTCTGTGTACTCCACCCGCTCGATTATTTAGCCCTCATGCGCCTGCTTCGCTATTGTTCACATCACTCTGTTATATATTATATTTGTCGGCGGCACAGTGGGGCGCTTACAAATATTGGAGATTATTTTAGAGAGCGAAAATACCTAAATTTAACATTTTTCTTAAATGTCTCGCTAAAAATAAATGTGCAACACGAAGGAGAAGGTAGGAAGTGAATATACACTGTGGATTGAAGTTCAGAGCATATTTTTGAGAGCACATAAACAGCTGATTTTTAAATTTCTTGGCCAAGAAACCATTGAAAACCAGACCATGAAACAGATATTCAAATTTAATTATTTCGCAATTAGAGATAATTGTGCCGTTCATAGACCCTAATCGGGCGTCCTCTTCGGTTCAGTCCATTCAATTTGTTGACTTTTCGTTTTACAGTTGATATCTGCTGGAATGGCAGAAAACCACTGATTGTGTCAGATAGGGCAGGTGGGCTATCTCACCCAAGGCATGTGAAACTTAGACACTCACTCTGTTCTGGCGCACTCTAGTCGTTAAGATGCTTAAGAGTGAGATCTTAAAACACTGTGCCAAAGCAAAAATACGAAAATGTTTTGCATGTTTTTGTTTCGCAATTAGTGCGTTCTTCCGTGTGAAAATTGCTCATTGTTTTCCCAACCGATGCAATCGTGAATAAAGAAAAGCAAAGTTACACTTTTCCGTTTTTCTTCTCTCAGTCGCTTACTTAATACTTTCCAAGCGCGGTTGGCGGGTTTGTGCGGCGCGTGCGCAAGACTGATTTTTTTCCATTTTAATTAACAATTATTTCCATTTTTCAGTCCATTTATTTTCCCTTTGTGTGCTTGATTGATGACTGTCAGCAATTATAACGCATCAACTGACGCAATGGTTTTTTCGGAACCCCGACCAGGCGGGCGCACACTTTTTTGCTCCTTCTCTGCACAGTTGTAATGGAATTTTTATTTTTTACCTTTTACCATTTTCCTTTTTCAGTTAGCAGCGACTGTGTGCAACGCATAGCAGACATGTCAACACCGCAATTGTCATTTTGACGAATTGTCAAGCGTTTGATGTGTTAAGCAGTGCGGATTATGTACCGCAGATATGAGTATGCATGTACACTCGCAGTGGTTGTTGCATGCCACATTCTTGCTTGCGCACAGATCTTTGCCGATAATACTATTTCACACTAAATAAAGCAAAGTAGATGAGCCACTGTAATTTTTTAAGGGCAATAAATCGTATTACTTCGCCGATTTCGACATTCCATTTCCTAATAAATGAATTTCGCACGTTAAATGCTGCTTGCAACATACTGCGAATGGCAAAGTTTGTCATAATCGGATTTAATGATTTATCATTACGCAGCATTTAATATTATTTGGACATACATACGTATATATGTACTTAAAAACATGCATATGTGTATATGAATTTTAATCCATCATTCTCTTTCAATTTATTTGCACTGTCAGCAGTTGTCTATGCAGCAAACATATGTTGGATTATTTCATTTTGAGCTCATTTCTGGTTTCTAATCACAAAAACCTTCAGTTTATCCCTTTCTTCTGCTCCCGTGCGCACATTAACACATTAGCCATATGACGTCCTTTCACTCAAAAGCAACTGTTATATTTTCATTTCATCGTTACGTTTCTTTTAAGAAATTGCTCCCTTAAAATATACTAAAAGGACCCCAGTTGTGCCTTTCATTCATAAACACAAAGGATATACGCTGATAAAATAAGTTATTAGTTATTCTTTGGAGCAAATGTGACAATGCTCAATAAATTGTAAAAAATAATTTAAAAAGTTTTTTTTTTGGTTTTTGATCAAATTATATGTTAGTAAGGAACCACACTTTTAATAACTAATTTTTATTATTTTCTCAATTATTCAATGGCCAGGGGTGTGACTAATCGACGTGGATTTATAGAAAGAATGTATATACATAAACTATTAATATGAGTGGCTATTTAAATTAACTATTTACACATCTGAGGTATTAATAATAAAAAAAATTTCGTCATAGTCATATAAGTGTTTTCAGTTAGTAGCAAAGTAAAGCTCATAACCCGTTCGAAAAACCTTTCTCTCGAAAATTGCCAGTGTCATCTCATCGGAGGTTGTCATCTACCAAACTTGGTCTCAGAGGGCTTTTTCAGTTGCTAGAGTTGTAGGCAAGAGTATTCTTTGAAGACTGAAGATGTTATCTCATGTCCTCATTTATCAAATCATATACTCGTATACAGCTTATCTGATTGTTGTGATCCATCTTTTGATAAATTGTAGCATAAAATTCTGTTTGTATACTATTTTACAAAGATAATCATTGAGATAATTGGCAAATGAGTTGATTTGAATTTATATATTCATATGCACAAGTATTTGCATGCTTAGTATTTATAATATTATAATTACTTATGAATTTGCATGTCCGATGGAAAATCTAAGGCTTCGTGAGACCAGAAAAGTTTTTGTTATGCGAAAAAGCAAAGTTTTGCTAAGTAGTTTTGTATTAAAGTACCTGCAAACGTTTTTATAAATACATACATACATATGTGAACCAAACGAAGAGTACTTGAAGTAAAATTTACTATTTACAGTTACATTTGTGACAGTGTTGCCCCAATAAGCTGACAATGTTTTTCCAACGTTTTTAACTCCCCAAAAACCTAGAAATGCAAGTTGCGGTGTCTGTGCATTTTGCAATCACAGAAAAAGTTGTCACATTGTCTTTTGACGCCATGATCGTCATGCTATTACGTGCAGCTCAATATATTTTCATGCGGAATCTCTGCAGTTTTCAATTTTTTTCTGAAAAGTTTTGACAGTTTTTGCCGTCTAATGGCAAGAAAATCGCAATACTTAGGCAATTCAAATTTAGTGCTTTGCAGCTGGTGTCATGCAGACGAATGTGTCAAAGTAGTCGCTTAACTGGTGAGACTTGTGTTCACACACTTATGTACTCTATGTACATACATATGTACGTACTTACATGTGTAGGTGTGTGCATAAATTTGTCAAAAATCGTTTAAAAGAGGAAGCAGTGGCAGCAAATTCACTCAGTTCTCATCTTTCTTAGTTTATTTTTCGAAATGAGAAAAGTTGAAAAATGCATGTCTGTAGATTTGTACATTGTATGTAACATACAAACATACATATATATAAGAAAAAGTCATATGAAACATTGTCATTTAATGATTGGCAGTTGCGAATTGGGAATATTTGTGTAATCCATAGGTTTTCGATTTACATAACTTGAAATGCGCTGAAAATTTGAAGTTTAATGATTTTACAATTTTTAAGACATATTTGTACTCACATATTAGCGGTATTTGTGAAAATATTGTAGAGACTTCCGTTTCCAACCGGTTTTCTAAGCTTAAATGAAATAATTTAATAAAAAAATTTAATAATTTAATTAAGTTTTAGACAATACTTTTAATTGAATTACTTTTTAAGACAAAAGCATATCCTCTTTGTCGTTAAAACGGCTCAAAATTGTTTAACTTAATATCAGAAGTTCACGCGATAGAAAGGTTGGACATCTTTCCAAGTTGGAAGACGAAACTGAAATTATTTTTCTATTTACCATTAAATTAGAAAAAAATTATGTATCTGCAAAAATCAGTGACAGCTTAAAAGCATATACATACTCACACCATGTCCATAGAATAATGCATGCACTATACACGTCCATCGCTTCTGACTATATTTTTTTTATATTTATTTTTTTTATATTTATTTCTTTATGATTATGTTAATAACATTTACTAATTATTCTTCTTCTACTTATACTGCGATCTCTCGAATAGCATCCAATTGGATAGTTTAGTTGTTATTTTATCAGCAATCTTTTACAACACATGCTCCTCACTACAGTCCACTCAACCCCACTTCCATAGTTCTTATGTGACAGCCATTAGGAGCTGAAAGCAAACAAAATCAGACATAAAAACTAATAAAATTGCAAAATAATGTAGTTTATATTTCTGCGTTGCTCTGAACGAACAACTAAGTTTTAACAAATTGTTTTTGATTGTTGGCTGAATCTGATCTCCACCTGAGACAACGAATAGCTCTGACTGCTAAGCGAAAGCATATTTCACGATCTAATTAGTTCTTCCAACCAAATTATATGACTATGGCGAACGTGAACTGCCGAACACACACATTAAAAGCATAAATGAATGATGCCGCCAAAAGTGCTGACTAATTGAAGTACAAAATCTAGCAAAACCTGTAATTAAGTCTACGACGAGCAACGACTTTTTTCAATATTTTTATTATTTATCGTTGTTAGCAAAATTTTGCGTACGAGTATTTCTTGCAGTGTAAGCCAAATGCATAATGTCTGAAATTGCACTTTTAACGCTTGAATGCGCAACCATGACTACTCTTATTGTACATATATTATATATATGTACGTAACTCTAAATTTGTTGCTGTTAACGGGTCAGCGCGTAATCGATCGCTCAAGTATTTCAGTCTTTCTCCGCAAACTCATGTTTGACAATAAACGATTTTTCCTTTTAAGCTTGAAAACTTTTAAATCAACAACAATAAAAATTGTTATATCAAATTTGTGGTATTTCATATATGCAATTGGTTGGCAGAAGATGAAGATTTCCGATTAATTTCGGTAGATGTTGTATAATATATTAAATATAACAGTGCATCTGTAGAACTGAGTAAGAAGTTTGCATACAAACAGACATACCTAAATCGACTCATCGAGCCATTCTAATCCGTGCTCTTTTCCTTCTGGTACGTACGAGTACGTAAATAGTTTGGCAAAAGTTGGGGAAAACAATAAGACCAACGCCACAAATTTGATTAGAACCTCGGAGAAAAATTCATAGTTCAAAATATTTTATTAGCATAACAGGGGCTTATTCCAAAATTTGTATATGGTACATTGAATACATTCGAATAAGGATAAGTATTTACTTTATCGTTGGTCACGGTGGCCGAGCGGAAGATAAGGTTTCGGTCCTGTCCCAAATAACATCCATAAATTATAGAAAATTAATTAAAACAATTTAGTTAATTTTTGTAATTGCGGTCGTCTCTCGGCTGGGAATTTCAACACTTAAGAGTGTTTCTGTATTTGTACGAAAAAAAACTTTAAATGGCTCTTGTATAGAGTAATGGTGTCTTATCCTACAAATGCCGCTCAACGACCTGCATGCGTTTCAAGTAACGGTATATAATAAAATCTCAGTAAAATCAACTTCGGAGAACATTCTAAACCGTTTTATACCACCTAAAGCTATCAAAAAACAAGTAAAAAGGGCAGTGTTAAGCTTAAAATGTTTCAGAATGTCTTACTAAAGGTCTTTCTAGATAACATTTTTATACAAAGAATTTAAGGTCCACACACATTACAAAGAAAAACACGTCCATTTTTTGCTGACTGACTTAAGTTTTTTTTCATAAAAATTAAAAATTATGTCGTGTAAAGAAAAATTGTCGTAGAGTTTCGAAATTTTTTAAGAAGCTTTTAATGAAATTTAGCGAAGAATAATTCTGTAGAATATTTAAACCCTTTACCCTCCTTCCAACTTGATATTTTTAGGTGATAGCTAACGGTTTTAAGAAATTGTGCCTCTAGAATCGACTTTTGTCAAGGGCATGACAAAGATAGAAGGTTAAAGAAGTAGACTTCGAGCTATCATCAAAAACCCATTGGATCTATTGTGGGCTTTCAGAAACGCGCAATAAAGTACTGGCTGAGTTGAGTGGAACCAAATTTCTAATACTAATATTGTCGTAAGTCTCAGCTCTATATATCTATATCTAGGTAATATAGTGAGATTCTCTATCAATAACTTCTTCTTTTCGTCATCATATACACAGTGCGGTTGAACTTAAATAATCTTTCGTTAAAGAATATGACCAATTAATGCATCTCAAAATAACTTTAATTATGTAAGTGTCTCATTCAAGCCTCTCTGTACATACAGCGGCATGTTTATTGAAAAACAATTCAAATGCAAAAACATAAAAAACCCACATTTAAATAATTAAATTTTATTTAAAAATAATTACTTTTAAACTAACCTATAAACATACATATTTATGTATATCCAAATGTATATATACGATCATATGTCCTATATACGTACACACACATGCACATGTTTATATTAAACAAAAAACATTCGCAAATTAAAAGTCTTGCTTGATTAATGAAACTTTGAGGCGAGTTTCCATGGATTCCATTACAACTGTTGCCATTACCAAGCTATAATATGCATGTGCATAGATACTACATACACCTTCATATAAACATGCTTGTAAATACATAGTCGTATTAAATAAAGTGATTAGCTGTTCATCAAACCGTGAAACTGCAAATGCCATGAGAGAGTTGTTGTTGTTATTTCGATTGAATTTATTAATTGTATTCATTATTTTACATTTTTGTTGAGGTGGAACAGACGACACCCATTTGCTGAGACTTGTATACATACATATATACATATGTTCATACAGCTTATGATGCAAATTATCATTGTCGTTTTGTATTTGCCCACCCACAAAATTGTTTGCTTTGACAAGTAAAATTCATGTTAAATGCTTGAAGTTATCAAAAATTACTTTTAAATTTATGTATGTATGTTTCTATATAAAAATAAATATGCGTATGTATATATTTTTGAGCGATTTATGGAATTGGGTCACAAAGCAAAGCAAATAAATTCGAGATTTCTGCGTTTTATTGAGTCATTTTTATACATATAGCTGCGTACATACATACATACATACACATGCGATCGTGGTTGTAGAGCTAATAAATGTGTTTGTTGATAGATCAAAGGTCTGGTTGTGAAGAAAGGTGTAAAATTGCCCGCAGCATGTGCAAATCAGAGATAGAAAAAGTTGTAAAACGTGTTGAGAGTTTATTTACATTTTATCCAATGGCCTAAGAGCGTGATTGATTGGGGTTGTGTTCTAAAATTTAGACTTTTTTGAAGAATACCTGTACGATATTTTTCCTTTTATTTGAAGTTGTGAATAATTTTAGGCTTGAATACACATTCTCCTCAACATATATATTTAAATAAAGGGTATTTTTTATTGTTTGTATTCTTGGAAGTTTTAACATCAATAACAGTCACGAAGCATTAAATCTCTATGTACGGCAAACTTCAAAATTCTTTGCCTCCGCTACCTCACCCAAGTCTTCAAATGTTTCCGCCCCTCGAGACTTCAACCTAATTCTCCATAGTGCTGGGTATTCGTGAAGGAAGTGGCTCAAATTTTCAGATTCCTCTTCTTGTCTGCGACTTCTGCAGAAATCGTTAGATGGTACGCCCAACTCCCTTTCGTGCGTGCCCTGCTGTGTTTAGCGCGATAAGCTGGTCACATTTTCTTGGTCAGATTACACGCATTGAGAGGTCTACAACTTGGCTTAGCACCCATGTTGATCTTGCAAGTAGGAGCGGCATGCCCAAATTCATCGATAATGGCAAAAGTCGAAGGGAAGTGAACTTCCTTGCGAGCTCGCCTGCCATCTTATTACTCGGTATGTTGCTGTGTCCAAGCACCCATAACTAAGTACATGGTTTATTACTTTCCGTGGGGGTAGGATCATTACATTTGCTGGTATCCGAAGCAGCAGTCTGCAATTCTGGACCAAAAGGATCCCCTTCCTTACTCCAACAATATGACATTCCTGACTCGCGACAGGGCTGGCTGCGCAATTGATCCTGATCCACAACCCTCCTACTATTGTTAGACAAACTGAGTAGGTACCCTGTTTCGTGCTGGTATTCAAGTTTTTGAGCTTCTTCTTTTTCGATTTTTTCTTTAGAGTGCCGGTATCTCGCCATTGTGTTGTTCATGTTGTTAGAAGTTCACCTATAATCTCATGAATAGTGGATATCCCTGTTACTCGTAAGGTTGGAAGGCATGAAAACTTGCTATCTATTTGCAACCTGCTTTCTTTCATTGGATTGGTGGAGAAAAGCATGAACCGCCGCAAAACGAGTCGCACTTGGTGGAAATGAACTATCCGCGGCAGAAGCATGTTTCAAAGGTATTTGAGATTTTGATAGAACATTGTCTTATAGTACGGCGTTCGGAAAAGCTGTAAGAGCTGCAGAAATAAAAAGGGGGAAGAAACAATTTTTCGTCTTTTGTATTAAGGGCTATCCTAAGCAGAAGTAGATTTTGGCGTATTAAAGACGTTTTCACCGATAGATTTTGCAGTCTTGATGAAGCCAAAATAAATGAACTAATGAAATTCATAGAGAATCATATCACAATGGTCCTATTTTGGCCTAAGTGTGACACTGGTCAAATACATACTTGAGAACAGAGCCTTTAATTTAATTATTTTTTTATATTAAATGCCAAACATTTTCAAATAGCTCTAACCTAAAATTTATCTTTATTTCCCAATTTCGTCAACACAACGCAACAATAATTTTAATTAATTCTATTCACAACATTGTAAGAAGAATTTATGTATGACGTTCAAAATATTTTTAATTTATTTTCAATGTAGAGTAATTGGTAGAGACCACAATGAGCTTACACAATGGCTTAGGCGCGGTCGATTGCGGTCAAGTCCTCAACCTACCCTTTCAACCAACGAACCAAATCCATTCAAAATACGAACTATAAATCTTAAATAAATACTGTTAATTTTAACTCTTGAAAATAACATGAATTACAAGTAATTCGGTTAATTTATTATCTGTGTTTGTTCTTCGGCATTTCTTTCTACACAAATTCAATTCTTTACATACGTACTTACAAGCGTCTAAATGTTGAGTAATAAATGTTAATGAGAAGCATAAAAACAAACAACTCGTGGTGAGCAAATCGCACGTTACAAACATTTTAGAATACTTGATTTGAATTTGTAATGATTTTGGTTGGCCAAAGACGAAACATTTACATACATACGTGTACGTAATAGAAACACCCATAAGTTTACGAATGCAATTGAATTTATTTTAATTTAAATCCTTTAATGCATAATGATTGACTCTACAGAAGTGGGTAGGTAAAAACTTAAAAAACAAACGAAATTGAAATATATACATTTTGTTCTTTTTTTGGAAATTCTTGAGAATTAACATTCC